GTATCTCTCATTTCTCCCCCCCCTCCCCCCCCTCCCCCTCCTCCCCCCCTCCTCCCCCCCCCTCATTTATCAACGTATTGCCCTGTGCCCTTAGATGAGCGTTGTGTGCAGTGTTTTGTTGGTTGTCGTGAGCGTGGACATGAGGTGTTTGCTTGGTGATTTCTTTGTGCTTGGCTTTCAGCAGTTTCGCAATACTGAGAACTCGCAATTCCGGCACGAAAGCGTTCGCTGATATAATTATCCCTCTCTAATTAGTGATATGAAATCAGTATCAAGCAAAATTTGCCGGAAATTTTTCTTAAGTTATGTTTTAATATGTGAAGAATGCAGAAGGTGCAAAATATCCACTACGATGAATAGGGGGCAAACAAAAACATATTCCTGATGTGATTGGGGTCGACAGGTCGCAATCGGAGTTGACAGGTCGCAGTTGGGGTCGACAGGTCGCAATCGGAGTCGACAGGCCGCAGTTGGGGTCGACAGGTCGCAATCGACGGGGAGCTGAGAGGGAACGATGTCGAAACTGGCTCTGATGAATCCCTCCGTGTCGGCTGAGATGGGGCTTTACAACAAGGTAAGATGACGATGATAATAATAATAATAAATGATAATAATATCTATAAATGATAATGATAATAATAAATGATAATAAATGATAATAATAATAATAATGGGTATTTATGCATAACTTTCTTGAATAACGAACAACGCTGATGAAGACTAACACCGGGGGGAAAGATGACAGAAAATCATTACTTAATGATAATCGCCGACATCATCAGAGCGCTCAACGGGCAACTGAAGCAATTTTTTTTTTGGAAAGTCATGACCTAATGACTACATCATCGCTGACGCTAAATTCGGCAGCGAGTTCCGTTTTTCGGCCTCATGCCCGTTCCATCGCCTCCACATAATTAATTGTCTAAATTAGCTTATTCGCATGCAACTTCATCAGTTTACAGATTCTTGGAAAAAGGTGTTTTTATTTTTTTTTATCCTTTAGCCCCTTTTAGATCGGACGGGACTCCGGAGTCATCTTGCCCTTTTAACGGAATTCGTAATTTTTGCGAACGATATTTTGCATACGATATTTTGCGAACAATATTTTGTTGTTGAGGCTTGAGTGAGAAAAATTCGTTTTTTCGACATTCGTACTTTTTCACTCCGATCTTGAGAGGGGATTTTCCTATTGTGCAAATTGATCCGGCGTCGGGTGACTTCAGGTCGTCTTCAGGAGTCTGACTTTTCGATGCAGATCTCGGGCATGGGGAAGCTGGGAGCAGTCCATCCGATGCAGCAAGACGGCTTCAAAGGTTCCGATATTTTATTGGGATTCCGGGACGTTCCGACATGAATACCAAAATTTATTACAACCCAGGCATTATTTGTTTTTATCGGTATTTGCATTCGCAGACACCTTGTTCGCCTGCGGAGAAGAGCTGAAGAACGGGTCGGCCATAAGCAAGAAGCGACACGGGATCTACCAGGTCGACCTTCAAGGTCAAAGGCCCCCGATGCCCTGGGTGGCCCACTACGACGTGAAGGG